TTATTTTCCATACAAATAACATTTAAACTTCTCGATTCCCCAAACTATGGCGAGGCATTCGCGTTCTTTAACTGCATAACACGTCTTGAGATCTGATAGTGTTCGGCGAGCATAGGCGACAGGCATTAATTCCCCGTTTATTTCTTGTAGGATTGCACTCAAGCCCGTGTCAGAAGTATCAGTTCGCAAGAAAAAAGCTTGTTATAATTGGGCAACGTGAGAATTGGGTTGTTACTGAGTTTTTCCTTCAATAGATTAATCCTTGCAATCTGACCATACCCAAGAAAGACCTTAGTTTTTGCTTTGTTTTGTTTTAGGAATAGACATGTCCAGTATAGCTTCAATTTCATCATCAACAGGTCTTAAATAATTATCACTCAATGTGAAATCCAGATACTTAATTTTTGCATAGCCAGAGAAGCATTTATCAAGACCTGCAGTTAGTCGTGTAAACGGAGCCGGTTAAGCTGGTTATAATATAAATGATATTCCCAATTAGAATTGTTAACAACGATGTTATCGGAATGGCAATCCGTGTTACTTACTTTTCTCATAAGTCGCACAAACGTCGCGCACGCGGTTTTCAATCCGAAAGGTAACCTCGTAAATTACATTAAACCATATTTAATTGCAAAAGCAGTATAAGGCTTCGATCGTTCGCTCAAGGGAATTTGCCAATATCCTCGGCATAAATCGAGTTCTGTGAAGAACTTATCGAACGTGAAGTTTCCCAGCGATTCGTCCATAATAGACATCGGCTCAGCATCAAATTGACATTCTGTATTGAAAATCAACACAGAACCTTCAAGTGTTATTAGTTCACGAGAACTACGGGCGAATCGGATGCTTCGATCACTCCAAGATCTTTCATTCTCTGTACTTCTGCCTCGAAAGGTTTAATCCAATGATGGGGAATCGCGTAAGGTTTGCGGTGTACGGGTTCGCTGGTAGTTAATTTGATGTCGTGTGTTACTAAGCTAGTTTATCTGAGAATACATCTGGATACTTATAAAGTAGATTTCGTAGTTCTTTTATTTAATAAAATTTTAGATTTGCACCGATATTAAAATTAGTTACTGAATTGTTCATTACAGATGCACGTGTCATTACTAGCAAGATCATCTTCTATAACGCATATCTGGCAAACTTTAGGCGTTTCATTTTCTTCCCTTTCAATTAACTTTTTCATCATGTTAATATGATAGCTTTAACTTTTACTTTGATTAAGTAATCTACGCCGTTACCATGACGTTTAATCACCGTGCATGGGCCTTTCCACTGCATACTAGGCTTGTATGAGTAGAAGGAAGCAGAACGAGCCCTTCGTCGCCAACGGTGAGCGAGCGCGCTTTCGCTTCGCTATCGAAGTAAGCTTTGTATAGTTTATTATTGAGATTGGCATGAGAAGATGCTAACTGAGCAGATTCCTCTAATTTAGTCCTAAGATCTAACACGCATTGATAGGTGTTTTTTATATAACTATCCAGATTATCGTTGGTCCGCAGATCATATAAGATAGTGAGGGGTTCACGAACCCTACGGCCATACAGCAGTTCGAAAGGAAAAAACTTTAAGGTGTCATTCGAAATCTCACGGTATGCGAATAGCATTGAGGGAATGTATCGGTCCCAGTCCTTCGGTTGTTCAAGACATAGTTTCCTCATCACTGATTTCAAAACTGCGTGAAAACGCTCCACTGTACCGTTACAACACGCGTGATACGGGCTCGTATAGAGAGCCTTTACACATAAAAATCTATTCATCTCTTTCATGAGATCGGACTTGAACTGTGTGCCGCGATCTGACAAGATTTCTTTCGGAATACCGACACGAGAAAAGATGTCAATTAGGTTCTCAGCGACTGCTACTGTATCGATATTGTGTAGAGGGACAGCTTCAGAAAAATGCCTAGCGTAGTCTAAGGGCAAGATATACTGGTAAACTCTTTCTGAAGGTGATAACGGGCCTACGAGATCTATAGCAACGCGAGCAAATGGTTCATTTATCACGGGCATCGACACTAATGGTTCTTTCTTCACCTTTCCTTTAGGGGAAGATCTTTGACCTGTTGGACACGAACGAGAAAAGCGCTTTACATCGGCACCCGCGCCTGCCAGAAGAATTTGTAAAATATCTTCTCAGATGTTTTACGATGCGAGAAGTGTCCGGCGACAGGGGAATCGTGTGCGGTTGACAAGAGGACATTTCTGAATTTACGAGGGACAGCTAATTGTTTCATACCAATCTCATTTTCATTTGTACTTTGAATGCAAATTTTATAAATGAGATCGTTAACTTTCTCATACTTTACAGTTCTATGTTTGACACTTACTATTCTTCCTCTCTTTACTCTTGATCTTATATTATTTAGAGTGACACATTTGCCTCGTTCGCCAATCAGATCTTGTTTTGTAATATCCTTAATTATCAATTCAGGTACATTTAAGGAACGAGGCTTAGCAAGGTCAACTATTTACCTCTTCGAGTCTGGACTCTCATAACTAGTTCATCAGCATTTGCGACTTCAGAGCTGTCAAAGGCTGAAGTGCTACTATTATTAGTCTTGTTACCCGTTAAATCTTATGCTAGCATCTTGACCCCGGGTACTATTCCGATTAATATGTCTGAATTTGACGGGAGCCCCGACGGCATTCACTCATCCAGTTAAAATCGGCTTTTTATGAAGCACCGTATTTCGGGAAAGGTCTTGCCGACACCAAGGTAATCGTACAGGGTAATGGTCTTCCGTCGTTTCACATACGAGGGAATCAGCGAATCTTTCCCTATAATAGTTGAACAACCCGAATCAAAGAGAGCATTAACGGGTTTGTTAAACAAAATCGCATCGTCGGTAACACTGTCTGCGGAGTAAGATCCGATTCGATAATGAAGTTAACCTTTGATGAACTCGACCCGATCTTTTTAATTCGGGACAGTTAGGTTGATGTGCCCCGTTGCTTTGCAGTTGTGACAAACCACTTCAGACTTTGCGACGCGCCTTTCGCTAGTTTCCTCTCTCGTAGAGGTCTTCCGTGATCTATTGCCACGACGCGCAGCTCTGAATCTATCGGCAGATTGAGCCATAGCAAGAGTGCAGTCAAATAATCGCGCTTTTAAAAATATCCGGATATCTAAAGAGCAGATGCTTGGTAATTGGTCTCTAACAAGGAAGTCACAAAGCTCATTGAAATCCTCCTTCGCCTCACTAAGAGTTATCCAACTTTTAGGTACTGTTCCATTCCAGTAACTAGTTGAACATACGACTCGTTATCGTTCACTTTGCTTTCCCTGAATTTCATTTTTTATGGCTTTATCTGTCAAATGTGCTCTGAGGTAAACATGATAGTGCTCTACCTCCCAATTCTGCAATCTTCTCAAAACGTACAAGATAATCATGAATATGATCTTTGCCCTCGCAGAAATTAGGCAATTTTAAATCTGGATAAGCAGACTGACCTGCATTAACTACGGAGCCTTGGCTTAAAAAAAAAACAGTTTAGCTAACTCTAACTCATGCTGGCGTCGTTTTCTCGCTTCTTCTGCCTCAAATTCCAATTTCTTAAATTCTCTTTCTCTCTGCCTTTCCTCTCTTTCTCTTTGCTTTTATTTTCTCTACTTCTTCATATCCCCTCTTCCTCACGAGCAATGAAAGTATTTATGTCTGGTGGAGAAGTTCCCGCATCTTGGGCGGTCTTTACAATATCTATGATATTAAAAGTTGACATTTTGTCTTATTTCAAAATGATTCCTTTTTCATTTGTAAACTGAAAGAAAGCATATGCCAAGGGAACACTATTAAACAAAGTTTAATATTATTGATTAAATTTTGAATTAGTTTTCAGTCACTTACTGATCGCACTAAATGAAGTCGTTAATGATAATAGCAAAAAATATGACGCCTTACAATTAAGACAAGGTGACGTAACAAACGAGCTACGGCCACCGGGCACACCAGTCGTGAATATAAGTGAATTCAAAAGACTTCTCCCCACCATGTAATTAGATGCACACGAAGCAATTGAAAATGGAACTAGTCGACGAAACGCGTCGTTGATACGAGTGCGGATGGCAAGTGGGATTCGACAATTCAAACCTTCATGACACAAATACAGCAAAATTACAACTACACATCCATCACACATCCAACACCAGAGAGACCGTAAACAATAATCTTCACATCCTCCATTTAGTTACCTCTCTCCGCTCAACACAGCCGACCACCTTCTCCGCCCCTCTCGTTACTAACTGCGGATGCACAAGAGTAATTAATGGCATCAATAATCAAACTTCAAGCATTGGCTGATTATGTGGATCATCCTACTCACTGCGCCATTTTGTCAGGGGTTTTGTTTTGGTCTTTTAGCATTGATCTCTGGTTGATTAGCCACTCGAGGAATAGATACAATTTGTATAGCTAACCCAAATATATAATATATATTCACAAATATTTACACGGCTATACATATACTATATATTTCGGCCTGGGCAGTGTGGGTGGGACCGGTCAGGAGACCGCGCCCTTCAATGGAAAAGTAAACCGCCTCCTTCCCGCCGCTAGGTTGTGGGGTTACCCTTGGGCAAGGTAAGGCACCCCTTCTAGCCCCCCATGCCAGGGATACGGTGAAGCCAAGCCGGTAGCAGTGCCTGGTGGATGCAGGAAGCTTTGCTGTCGACATATTCGGCTGGATGGGGCTTTCCTGCAGGTGTTGAGCAGGGCAGAGTTCAACTTTGCTAATGGTTAACACAGATGCCCCCACTGCCTTGTGGGTTAGGACTGATTTCCAAAGACTAGCGGAGAGTCCGTAAACAAACCGGCAGAAGGCAACGGGAAACCACTGCTGTACCTCCCCAAGAACAATCATGGCAGTACAACACATCACAGAGAATAGCAACAACGACGTGAAGAGTAGCTTCCTAGAAGCAACCTCGTCCGGTAGGGTTCGTCATGAGCTGCAGGTGACACCAGACCGTCATCAAGCTACTGCGCTGAAGAACAAATAATGAATAAAGCTGGAAAGTTGGAAAACATCAAGGAGGAAATTAACAGATTGCACATCAATATCATGGGCATATCTGAGATGAGATGGACAGGAGCTGGAGCTATATCATCAGAAAACCATAAGATCGTATACTCAGGAGGCGAACAGCATGAACGAGGAGTTGGCATCATCGCAGACTCGAAAACATCTAAGGCTTTACTAGGATACTGGGCCGTTTCTGACCGCATTCTGTTGGCAAGGTTTAAGGACATCAGCATAATTCAAGCATATGCACCCACTACTAAGAGCAGTGACGAAGACATAGACAGATTTTATGCCCAGTTAGATCAGGCATACTCGCAGTGCAAATCCCAGGATACCATCATTGTTATGGGGGATTTCAATGCTAAAGTTGGTAACGAGAGGGTAGACAACATCGTGGGTCCTCATGGACTCGGAAGCCGTAATGAAAGAGGGGAGATGCTGGTGGATTGGGCGCAAACGAACAACATGATAATTGGAAACACCTGGTTTAAGCAACCTCCAAGAAGACTGTGGACATGGTTGAGTCCGGATGACCACACCCAGAATCAGATTGATTACATTCTTGTTAATAAACGCTTTCGTAACTCTCTTTTGGCATCCAAAACGTTACCAGGAGCAGACTGTTACAGCGATCATGTTCCAGTGATGGGTCGATTTAGGACCAAGATGAGAACACTAAAGAAACCTACCCTAAGGGAACAACTAAATGTATCATTACTCCAGAAAGATAACACTATAAAGGAGAAGTACGCTGTAGAGGTAAAGAACAGGTTCAGTGCTTTAGAGAATCTTGATTCCATCGAGGATCATTGGAAGGGCTTGAAAGCTTCGATCATGGATACAGCAAACGAAGTGCTACCAAGGGTAGGAAGAACAACAAAGAAGAAATGGATGGCAGATGAAATATTGCTTCTTATGGAGAGAAGGAGAGCTTCTAAGAACAACAAAGAAGCTTATCAACATCTAAACAAGCAGATTACCATCAAATGCAATGAAGCAAAAGAAGCTTGGCTTACTGAAAAATGCAAAGAGGTTGAGAAACATCATTACTCTGATTCAAGAGCCATGCATAAAAAGATCCGTGAAATTACCAACAAGAAGACTCAATCATCATCAGGATGTCTTAAATCAAAGACGGGGGCATCATCATGGAACGTGACAAGAACCTGGAGAGGTGGTCAGAATACTTGAATGAACTCTTTGATGATGAGAGGAACACGGAACGTACTATCGACTTAGAAATGAGTGGTCCACTCATCATGGAAGATGAAGTAAGGCATGCTGTAAGAAAAATGAAAAAAGGTAAAGCTCCAGGGCCTGATAACATCACTCTAGAAATGATACTAGCCCTAGATGAATATGGCATCAACTTACTGACATGTATGATGCCACTAGACCTTTTAAAGTCTGTCTTCATCGCTCTACCCAAGAAGTCAGGAGCAACAGAATGTGAAAACCATCGGACCATAAGCCTGATGAGTCAAGTGACAAAAATACTCCTGAGGATTATCCCCAATAGAGTCAGGAATAAAATTAAGCCGGAGACCGTTGAAGAACAATGCGGTTTTGTGGAAGGAAAGGGCACGGCCAATGCTATATATATTCTGAGAAACATCATTGAAAGGTCACTGGAAGTACAGAAAAACATCTACATGTGCTTTATAGATTATACTAAAACATTCGACAAAGTAAGACACGATGAAATCATTAACACCCTAGAGCAAATGCACATAGACGGAAAAGACCTCCGTATCAAGAATATATATTGGGAACAGATAGCAGCTATGAGGGTCGACAACGAGATCGGAGAGTACCAGAAGATCAGACGAGGGGTACGCCAGGGATGTGTCTTATCACCAGACCTGTTTTCAATATATAGTGAAATTATAATGCGCAGTTTGGAATGCTTAAATGGAATTAAGATAGGTGGTAACAACTTACGTTACGCTGATGATACAGTCCTGCTGGCAGAGACAGAAGAAGATCTGCAGTCTCTGCTAAATACAGTCTTCCCTAAAACTGAAAGGAAAGGTCTCTCCATTAATAACACCAAAACCAAGACAATGGTCGTCATCAAGAAAGGGCAAATACCAACATGCAACATAACTGCGAACAGGACCATCCTTAAACAAGGAGAAAAATTCTAGTACCTTGCCGCATTAATTACATCTGATGGGCGTTGCCTAACAGAGCATGAGCAATATAATTAGGAATCGTAACATCTCGCTTAAAATCCGCAAACAACTTCTCCAGTGTTACATCGAACCAATCCTGATGTATGGCTGTGAAGCTTGGACCATCGACAGCCAAGTTGCTAAAAAGATCGAAGCAGCTGAAATGTGGTTCTGGAGGAGGATGTTACGAATACCATGGACTGCGAAGAAAACTAATGTGCAAGTTCTGGCTGAGACAGGAGAAACACGGAAACTGCTGAACAAGATCAGATCCAGGCAAGCCAGATTCGTAGGCCACGTTACACGAAAGGAGACCCTAGAACATCTTGTGGTCACGGGAAAGATCCATGGTAAAAGGGATCGTAGCCGGCAGCGTGGGAAGCTACTAGACCATCTGACATCATGTCTAGGAACAGCGAAGAACACCGAGTTGCTACAGATCGTGAAGGTTGGAGAGCCATGATCGCCCACGCCTGCCGGCATGGCACCTGATGATGATGATTGTTTTGGCAGGCCCTATAACATATATTTTTAATTTCAATAAACAATACAAGTAGATAGTATAAGTCGGTTTATACTCAGGATCTCAGTGACCGTCCATGCCGAGGGGTCTGACCTCGTGGTGAGCGTCAAACCTCCAGGCTTTATACCAAGTGACGTCATGCGCGAAACGGACGAATTTCACTAGGTCAGTGACGAGACCTTACTTATATAGACCTTGCGTGCGTGTATGTGTATGTGTTTGCGTGTATGTGCATGTATATGTGCGTGTATGTGTATGTACGTGTATGTGTATGTGCGTGTATGTGTATACATCTATGTTTATATATATGTATATGTATATATGTGTGTGTGTGTGTGTGTGTGTGTATGTATGTATATATAGAAAAGGTATGAATGAGAATGAATATAATCACAATACAAGAAATGTATTTTACCGATTTCGATTATATCTTCGTCAGAAACATGCATTTCTGTGTGTTTGTATATATATACACACACATAACCGGTACTTTCTAGTCCTGGTCAGGGAGGGCTGTTATTCATCTATATTATATATCTATATCTCTCGTACGCACACACACACTATCTGTCTGTCTATCTATTTATCTCTCTCTCTATCTATCTATCTATTTATCTATATATGTATGCATGTATATAAATGTGTGTGTGTGTGTATATGTATATACGTATACTGAAATCAGTGGAATGTAGTTAATGAGTCTAAAATATGGATACATATATGTGTGTGTACATACACACACATATATACACATATATACAGACGCGCATCTACACGCGTGCCTTCTAAAAGAGTAATTTCCCAAAATCCGGAAAAAAAAAAAATTTAAAACCTTCCTTAATCCGAATCGTAACCCAAGCTAGTCACTTCCGACCCAACAATTACATGAGCCTAATCGGCCGAACACTTGCAATGTATGGCGCGGCTGAAGAGAGTGGGCTCGCGCCACGAGGCGAGGGGCCAGGGCGCCAATTTCGTCCCCTTTATAAGGACCCGCGCCGGGGCAAGGCAGCACTTCCACTCGTCCTTTCGACCATGAAGTCTTCTGTGGCGCTGCTCGTGCTGGTCAGTTCCGAGGGCTATGCAAGTATACTTAGAGACCTCGGTCAGTCCCTCCCGGGTCCTCGGCCGAATTCGGTCCAAGCCTGGGTTTGATCCGAAAGCATTCGCTTCCTTTGTCCCAGGGTGGAATATATATATATATATATATATATATATATATATATATATATATATATATATATATATATATATATATATATTCATATATATATATATATATATATATATATATATATATATATATATATATATATATTCTCATATATATATATATATATATATATATATATATATATATATATATATATATATATATATATATATATATATATATATATATATATATATATATATATATATATATATATATATATATATATATATATATATATATATATATGTATATATATATATATATGTTCATATATATATATATATATATATATATATATATATATATATATATATATATATATATATATATGTATATATATACATATATATATATATATATATATATATATATATATATATATATATATATACATATACTCATATATATATATATATATATATATATATATATATATATATATATATATATATATATATATGTTCATATATATATATATATATATATATATATATATATATATATATATATATATATATACATATATATATATATATATATATATATATATATATATATATATATATATATATATGTATATATATATATATATATATATATATATATATATATATATATATATATATATATATATATGTATATATATATATATATATATATATATATATATATATATATATATATATATATATATATACTCATATATATATATACTCATATATATATATATATATATATATATATGTATATATATATATATATATATATATATATATATATATATACATATATATATGCATACATTTTTTTTGTATCCAGGTATATCAGGCATGTCTGTCAGTACTGTATGCACTCTCGTTGCAGGTGGCAGCCAGCCTCGCCTCCTGCAGGCGGCTGGCCTTCGAGCCCAAGAAGGCGACCCGGGACGGCGCTGACATACCCCCGAAGACCGCGTTCCGCCAAGACCTCTCTTCCTACGGTTCTGAAGCGCACTCCACGGCGTCCTCGTTCGGAGAAGACTACTGGACCAGTGCTTCCGCTTCCTACGGACGCCCCCCTTCCCCTCAGGCTACCACGACCAACCCTCCTGTGGTCAACCCGACAACAAATCCACCAACGACTGGGGCATGCCAGTGTGGGGTTGCCAACCCAACGCGCATCGTAGGGGGAGAAGAAGTCCAACCCGCCCACAAGTACCCGTGGCAGATAGGTCTCAAGTATAGGGGAGGCAAAGGGTACTGGTGTGGAGGCGCCGTCATCAACGACCGCTACATCCTTACCGCCGCCCACTGCCTATTTGACTCCAACGGAAACCCGGAGTCTGCTGACAGCCTCGTGGTGGGCGTTGGCGATCACCTCATGAGCTCCACTTCCGACGATGTGGCTGCAACTGAGCTGATCAGTGTGGAGAAGGTCATCCTGCACTCCCAGTACAATACACAGACATTTGATAATGATATAGCTCTTTTGAAGCTGTCCAAAGTCCTGACCTTCTCCACGGAGGTGCGACCTGTCTGCCTTCCTGAGGACGACAGCAAAACCTACGCGGGCGCAGATGGCATTGCCTCCGGCTGGGGCACGCTGTCCTCGGGGGGAAGTCAGCCCAATCAGCTGATGGAGGTGACCGTGCCCATCCTGGACCCCAGCTGCTGGGGCCAGTCAGTGACCGCAAGGATGCTGTGCGCAGGATACAAGGAGGGCGGCAAGGATACCTGCCAGGGAGACTCCGGAGGACCTCTGTGTGTGAAGGAGAGCGGCAAGTTCGTCCAGGTTGGAGTAGTGTCCTTCGGCGACGGCTGCGCCAAGCCTGGCAGCCCCGGCGTGTACGCCCGCGTGACGGAGTTCCTCCCTTGGATCAAGGCCAACACCGCCGACGCCGCCCTCTGCTGAGCCTCCGCGGACCTTCAGAACAATCCTTGCATCCAGGCCGAACTAATAAAATTTCAATTGCATCCCTATTTTAGACTCAATAACTACATTCCACTGATTTCAGTATACGTACATACATACATATGTACACACACACGCATATATATAGAGAGAGATAGACAGATAAATAAATAGACTGTGTGTGTGTGCGTAGAGATGGAATTGTACAAAACATTAATATAGGTGAATAACAGCTCTCATTGACCAGGTATCGAAACTGCCAGGTATGTGTGTGCGTGTGTATGTATATATATGCATATACATACGTGTGTTTATATATGTATATATCTCTCCATATATATATACATACATGTATACATATGTATATATGTATATATACGTATATATACATACACATGTTCATACATAAACATGTACACATATACATGTACATACATATGCATATATATGCATACACATATGCACATAAATACCGTGTATGTATATGTATGTGCATATACATACACATACATATGCATACATATATATATGTATATACTTACATACACATATGCACTCGCACACATACGCACGCGCACACATGTGCATATACATACATGTATGTATATGTACATACATATACATATGTATACGTATGTATATGCATATACATACGTATACGTAACTGCATAACATGTATAGAAATATATGCATTTCTATACATATACATATACATACATATATATACGCACACATATACATAAGCACATATATACATATATATGTGCTTATGCATATATATGCATATACATATATATATATATATATATATATATATATATATATATATATATATATATATATATATATATACTTATATACAGATATACATATATATTCTTATATACATATATAAACATATACATATGTATATGTATATGTATATATATATATATATATATATATATATATATATATATATATATATATGTATATACATACATATGTATATGTATATGCATATATATGCATATATATATATATATATATATATATATATATATATATATATATATATATATATATATATATATATATATATATATATACATGTATATGTATATGCATATATATACATATATATACATGTACATATATACATATATATACGTATACATATATAAATAGCCACTTTTATGTATAGATACATATATACCCAATTTTACATATATACACATACAGATACACATATACATACATATATATAGATACATATATACATATATATAGATACATATATACATATATATAGATACATATATATATATATATATATATATATATATATATATATATATATATATATATATAAATACATATATATACATATATGTGCATATATATACATATATACACTTACATACATATATATATATATATATATATATATATATATATATATATATATATATGTGTGTGTGTGTGTACGATATGTGTGTACATATCGTAGCGGGGCGCAGACCAAGTAGACTTCAATGTGTCTGGTAGAGTTCGGTCTCAACGGAGAATATATTTTCCTTCAGGAAAATATTTGTCTGCAGTGAACAGATGTAAGGTTCCAGGCCTACGGTACGCTGATACCACACGATTAGTAGGTTCGAGAACCCGGTGTGTATAGGGGTGTGAATGTTGTATAAGAGAAGGGTGGAAGGAAAATACAGAATGTGTGTGCTGAATGTTGATATGTAAGAATGTAAACGTGAAAAGGGAGATAACATAGGCCGACCGTCTGCGTGAGCGTGTTTGGAAGCAAAATGTTAGATCATAGAATTATTATTCTTCCCTACGGTTTTGAGAGTCCGCCTGCTGGAAGCGGGAACCCAGGTATAGCAACAGTTATGGTCTGTTTCATCTAGCCTTGGTGCAGCCTTTGAGCAATGTGCTGTTTGGGAGACCCGAGTCCGAGAAAGTTTTAAGCACTCAGCCTTGGTCAGAACCAGAACTTAGAGGTGGTCAGTATTTATTTTTCTGACTGAACGTGAGTGAAAAACTCTACGATGACATGTTTATTTAATGAGCAAGTTGCGCTCACTAGGGAGTTCTACAGGTAATTCAGTCACGGGAAATTGTTACAGATGAATGCCTCGCCAATGTGTCAGTGGGGGCGATGCACATGGAAGCCAACACCAGATGTACTTACAAATGACATATAAACATGTAATAATCCTTGAGTTGGAGTACCAACTTCGTAAGTATTTTTATCAAGATTCTGGCACGAAAGCATACGGATACCTAAATTAAACTAGTTGATTTCCAATCCAAAAACGAGATTACCTTAGGAAAATAAAGAACTAGTGCTGATAAACACTTAACAAAAAACATTTCCGTGGATACCCCCCAAAAAAACTGTGCAAGAAATAATTTGGAGACGAAGGCCAAAATAAAACAAAAGAACACAAAAAGAGACATAGAGCACGAAGACTGCTTGAACACCCACGAGGTCAGATTGGAATCAACCGAAACAACGCATCAAGAAAGAATAAAAAGGTCCTGAAAGTATTCGGGGCGAGATTGTAAAAGTTCTTCCTCCCAAGAGGTACGAATCCTTGAGGTGAGAGGAATGAAAACTAAGTGATAACTTAGTTGTTAAAGTTGGTGGCAACACTGGAGGTATTGAACCTCAAGCAGTGTTCCTCTGTTTCACTTGGTCCTTCTCTAACTCTCGGATTTCACAAAGTACTGCTGTGGGACTTTGCACCCTGCAGATGGCAATGCAGCATGTCACACGCCAGTCCAAAAGAGACCAGGTGTCTCCTCAACACAACCATAGATAACCACACACAGACACACACACACACACACACACACACACACACACACACACACACACACACACACACACACACACACACACACACACGCGCGCGCGCATACACACTCTCTCATACACACACGCATACACACACACGCACACACACACACACACACACACACACACACACACACACACACACACACACACACAGCATACACACACACGCATACACACACACGCATACACACACACACACACACACACACACACACACACACACACACACACACACACACACACACACACACACACACACACACACACACGCATACACACACACACACACACACACACACACACACACACACACACACACACACACACACACACACACACACACACACACACACACACACACACGCATACACACACACACACACACACACACACACACACACACACACATACACACACACACACACACACACACACACACACACACACACACACACACGCATACACACACACGCATACACACACACGCATACACACACACACACACACACACACACACACACACACACACACACACACACACACACACACACACACACACACACACACACACACACACACACACACACACGCGCGCGGCATACATACACACGCATACATGTGTGTGTGTGTGTGTGTGTGTGTGTGTGTGTGTGTGTGTGTGTGTGTGTGTGTGTGTGTGTGTGTGTGTGTGTGTGTGTGTGTGTGTGAGAGAGAGAGAGAGAGAGAGAGAGAGAGAGAGAGAGAGAGAGAGAGAGAGAGAGAGAGAGAGAGAGAGAGAGAGAGAGAGAGAGAGAGAGAGAGAGAATTCAATCACTTGTAGCGAACGTGATTTGTGCCTCAAGGGAAACCGGGCTTTTTCGGCCTTGTGGGTTCATGTTCTGAATGACAGAAACCATCCCGTGACTCCAAGTTATTGCCCTGTGTCCGCGAGTGGAAAAAAAAAGAGAGAAACACAGGGGGAAAGGGAGAGAGGGAGAGAGAGATGATGTTCAAGATTCCTCCTCACAGATAGAGGTGAAAGGAAAATGGGATAGCAGACAGTAAGAACGGCAACAAGGAAGAAGGGAGCAGACAAAAGAAGGAGGCAAACAACACGGACTAAACTCTACCTCCCTCAGCAAGGAAAGCATGTAGAAAAGGAACCAGAAATGTAATATAGAGGACAGTAAAATAGGAGGATTTTGCGAAATGGTCAAAGTCAAGGACACAGCTCAGCAAAACCACAGGGCACAACAGCACTGTTTAGTCACCAAGAGAGAAGCCAATGGAGAAGATTGGTTGGTGACTTGTTTTTGTTTTCCCCAGTTCTTGGTGCACCATGCAATTGCACAGATTGTAAAGTCAACTAAAGGGACCAGAAAATACACATTATCATAAAGCAATTATCATGGTATGCAACCACAAATCCTAAAACATTTCATTGATGTTACTGATTTCTTGTAACAGAGAAGAGAGCAAATGAAATTTTCATCTGATATTTTACCTATTCTTTTTTTCCAAAGCCAGTTACTATTAAACAACTTTCTCATCCATCCAGGTTTTGGCCACTTGTCAACTCTTTTTGTGCCTCTCACCTTACAATAATACACCTAAAAGTGCTTATCATAAAGATTTTTCACTTTGAAGCTTCACTGCTGCTCTTTAATATGATACGTATGAAAAAGCATAGCAAAAAATCTGGGGTGGCTAATAAGCATGCTACATTAGGTCATTCACCAAGACATCCCCAATGACATTACCGGAATCCAAGAGGGTTCAATAATCAAAAACAATCTGAAATACTTTTACAACATTCAAATGCAATGTTCAAGGGAAGGAATATCTAGAATAAAAGTTTAAAATGAAAAGAGAATAAGATAAGTTGCTTTATTTTTTTATCCTCTTTCCCAAAAATGTTTACAGTTGGAAATATTAAATGCAGTCCTTTATCATTCTAAGGACTAGGCTTTCAAGTATCACAAGAATCTAAAAAACAATAATGATCTTAATAATAACAACATTCACTTGATGTCTGTTTCTTGAATGTTTACAAATAAATAGAAAAAGAAAGAAAAACTCTCTTTGTATTTTGTACCTACATCACATACATAGCTTTGAGTGCCAGAGACGGGCACCCCAAAAACATTACAATAAAACTTTACACAAACTGACTTTGGTTTGAATATGATGCCAGACTGACATAAATTGAAATGAAGACCTTCAACAATTGTTAACATTTTGAATTCACCGGATTTCGTGAATGACAATGCAGCTGCTACATGTTTTCAAACTGCATGGTGTGTCTGAACATTATTTTGGACTCGTGAAGTTTTCAAGCACTAAAGAATGCCAATTCATCATAAATACATATGATGGATATTATGAATGTCTCCATAATTTGAATTCACATAACATCAAACAAATAACAAATGGAACAACAGGAAAAAAAAAATAATAATAAACATTAAAAATCAAAAGATTCCTCTGGAAAAAAATTGAACACTATCTTCATAAGCCCTCATGCCTAAAGTCTACAATAAAGTTCAGATCAACTTGAAAAACTCTAGGTCAAACTATGTCTACACACACACACTGACAGAAAAAAGATGAATATATATACATATATATACAAACAAAATATGCATATGAAAGTTAACATTACCTGTACAGATATGTGTAAGTTTCCCATATCAAAAAAGACACTGCAATTTAACTGGCTAAGAGGATCTCCGATGGAATTCCATATACATTCCATGATAGAATTAAGTGTCAGTTGTGGTCGGTGTGCCATCGATAACTTTCGTCTTGTGGTCTTGAACTTTCTTGAATTTCAGAAAGCTTAAAAATTTAAGAATATGATTCCAAGGTAACTCTAACACTTTTATGGTACGTTAATTTGAAATAAAAAATATGGCAAATATAAATCATTACATAAATATTAATTTCATTTTTATATAAAAGACACGAGTAAACTAAATAAACAAGAAACATATGTATGCATTTTTGAAGTCAAATTCCAATTCATATAAACTAAAATAACATTTTAAAGGTCACAATATAAGGATTTTTAACATCTATGCTGTTATGTGTAAAATACAGTAAAACCTCTTAACAGCATCTAAAACATAATCAGTGCTTGTAACTCCTTCTAATACTGATTGAATAAGTATATATATACATTTTAATATGATGGAAAATGCAAAGTTCCAAAGTTTAATAAATATACATATCAGTTATTATTATAAGTTATTATTTAACCCCATGCTGCCAGAAAATGTAGTGTTAGCAGGAGTATTGTTTTCTAAATGTCTGCACACACACAGACAGCTCCACAGGCACTTTGTCACTGAGTCAATTGGTAGACCTTATGACCTCATCTCATCTCATCTTTCCTCGAGTTTTTGGGAAAAGTTATCTTATTAATGTTATCAATATCGATGCTGTTATTATTGATATAGACATAATCATCATTATAATGTTATTACATTACTACTAATAATATAAGATAAAAAAATATTTATACTTCCAAAAATCAAGGAAAAAGTTAAACAGGTACTAGCAAGCAGCTCACTATTGACCAAGTACTAGCAGAGCCATTAATATTGTGAAGACAATTTATACACTCAACTTGCAAGGGGCAGGGCAAGTTCTTACATGCCATCCCCAACAGCATCAGGTTAAAAGGACATCTTTAGAGCTATGCACTGTATATACAAATCTGTAAAATCTGTATTTCAAGAACTATTAAGAGGTTCCCTGAAACACTGATGTCAAGGAATATGAAAAACTGAAATTAAAATTTACAAAAAACTGTCAACCTTATCATATTAAACATCTCTTCCTTCCATAAAGAAAAGAAAAGAAAAGAAATTGACCTATATCATCAAACTCTTCCTCTCGCATTCTCATCTTCATCTGTCTTATATTCATATTCCAACTCAATAATCTTATGAGACTGCAAGATGCATAGAACTTCCTGTACAGCAACATCTCTCCTTTACCGTCCCAATACCAGAGTCTACTAAATTAGCCTCCAAGAGTTGCTTTGGTCCACTCTGCTTTTATTTATCTTGACACTTGTAACGGGCAGCCTCCAAAGCAGATCTGATCAGGCACTCGCGACGTCTTTTTCTTTCAAATTACATCAAATGACAAAATTCCAATACCTTGATAGAGCATATTACAATCTTGTGGAGGTTTTCTGCATAGGATGGAGCAAAAGAAAACCAATCGTGAGATCCTGCAAGCCACTTCTTTATGTCTAAAAAGATTCTAAAGTCCTATTAATAAATAGCTTGTGTTTCAGCAGACTCTTGCCCTGAATTATTCCACATAAACTATTACATCAGACCACAAAAATATCATAGTTATACAACTGAACCGCCATGAATGTGGGCCCTGAGAATATCAAAAGGTAAGGCCATAACAGCCTTCACCATGTTTCGTGCATTCTGTTAAGTAGAATGTAAAATTACTCAGTGTCTCTTAACTCCTAGCTTAACTGTGTCTCTAGGAAGGTCCTTCTTTCTAACCACAAATTATTACTGATTTCACAGATAAAATGGGTTTAACTGATTATGGGTCTCATTTAACTTGAAAAAATAAAATAAAAAATCTATCCTTTTTCCTGTTTTCCTTTTTTATTCACATTTATTCACAATATAATTTTTTTTCTTTTTTCAGTACCATATTTCAGTTTTCTAGTCTTGCAAAATTCATCACAAAGCACCACTTGTGATGTCCTCATTGAGATTACACTTGCAAAAGGGAAGTCTTTACAGCCCTGTGTTGACATCAATGGTATGGTGATGGTCAAAGGTTCCTGGAGACACGAAGATGGAGTCTGAGTGGTCAACTGGTTCCAGTGAGGGGGCAAAGTCCTGCTGTGATGTAGCTATTAGGTACTGGAGCTCACTTGACACTGGAGTCCCATC